ACAGCAATTAACCACTAGGAAGAATGTATGCAATGTGTTAATTATTGAAACTGTCCTACCAATTTGGTTTGAAACTGTCTCATTGCTATTTGTTCCTCAATAAAATTATGGAAAAAAAATAAAAATAAAGTAACCAGCTCTAAAAAAAAACATAAAATAAAATGTGGATCATGAGGAGCAAAAATGATCTAAGAAAAGTGACTATAATTATCAGAAAACCCCAAGGAAAGAGAAGTGTTGTGCTGGACCATGGAAGGTTGGGAGAACTAAATGTTACATTTCATCTACATGAAATTTTAATTGTTCAATTATGTGCAGCTCTGAACCTTTAAATAATAGAGAAACTCAAACATAGAGCTATATAAAATATTCATATACATTTGTCAAGATAGTTTTCTATAACTATAAAGTCAGCTGTCTGAGTCTTGTGATAACCACTTAAAGAATACCACTGGGCTTTTCTTTTTCTTTAATTATTTTTCCTTTGTTCATGTTTGCAGTACACAATAATTATGTTTCTTATGGGGTGTTGGTACATGCACATAACATATCTCAATTCTTTTTTCTTCCCTTTCCCCTCCCCCTATCCTGCCATAGACCTTTTACAAAGTGGGAGGGGACAAAAAGGCTTTTCAATTGTGTTCAAAGTAATTAAGTTTTAAGAAAATGATGGGCCTGCTTCTTAGAGAAAATGTTGCAACTATAATATGATAGTATAAAAACAGTATTTAAAGTAATTGTGTATTAGGTCATATTTCTATGAATTTACCTTTTAAAAAGTGCATTAATTTACTTTATCTTATTCAATAACCTAACAGAATCTCAAATTCCAATTTTCTGTTATTTAACATGCCATTGAAATTAATGTTTGTGTTGAGAAAATACTAGCACAGTTAATATAAGTGATGCCCAACATAAATAAAGAAATCTATTAAAATGACCAGAGACATATCACATTAATCTCCAACACAGTGGTAATATGTCATGGTTCTAAATAATTTAGAGTTATCATGAATGATCATTGAGTAAAAGCTTTTGAGAACAATTAAAGAAACCAAAGACACTGAGGAGATGGCTTAGTAGAATAAGCGCTTGTCTGGCAAGCACAAGGGCCTGAGTTCAATCCCTGGTTCCACCAAAACAAAACAAAGATAGAAAGAAACCAAAGACCACAAATGTAAATTTCAGTTTCAAAAAAATATTAATAATAAATTCCTATGCATAAAGCTGATAAATTTGGCATTTACTACCAAAAAATTCTACAACATATCATCAAATATCTGATCACATTTAGAAAGGAAATTATCAATTGCTAGAAATTATTGTTATTTCCACAGAAACACCATTACAAACTAAGATTACTATCCATTTCAGTTACCATTACTAGTACGGGAGAAAGTATTAGTATAGCTTTTTTAGATTTTAACATAAAACTGTAAGATTTTAACTAACTAGATGCTTTGCACGTGCCAAGAATGTGATTTAAATGGGCCAGTCAAATAGCTCAGCGGATTAAAGCACCTGCTTAGGCAGACACAGTGGCTGGGGGTTTGATCCCCAGTATGCCATGCCATGCTGGTCCCACCCCCTAGACACCCTGAGACCTTGAGATTGGGTGTGCTGGCATGGGCCTCTAATCCCAGGTCTTTGGGAGGCTGAACACAAGCAGATCACTAGGAGTCCAATCTACGTAATAAGACCCTGTAGATCCTTACTTAAAAAAAATACAAAAAATAAAAAATAAATGCCTAGAATAAATGTGAAATACACAGGCTATATCAGTACAATAATACTATCTAAGGTACACTTATTTTTAGTCCACTCTGCAGTTAAAATTTCAAACTTTCTATGTCCCCATGACACACAGGTATTACCTGGAAAGAGAATGTATTTACATGACGGCTACTCAACTCATATCTATGGCACTTTCTAATGTTTCTAAGATAAGTAACGGTTTTCTTTATAGAATATTTAATCAATGTCAAATTTGTGCTTTGACTTTATAATCCATTAGGCAAAATTCACTTTTGGCATACTGATGTTTGAAAATAATTTAAAATTTATTAGATTATTAAAATTTGAACAAAAAATTAATGTTAAAGTAAATATATTCAATAAATCACACAGTCCTGACCAAAAATGTGTAGGTTTTTATACACTATTCTTTTTCAAAATGTTATAATCCAAATCCTGTTGATGAAAAAGAAAAACAAATAAGATGCAAAGGATTTTTAAATCCTTTGGTGAAAACTTACGTCCAGTAGGAAAGCATCGGTGGGTTGGCCACATAACTCAGCTAACTAAAATGCCTGCTTAGACAGGCACAGCAATCAAGGTTAGATTCCCAGTGTGCCATGCGGGCTCTGCCCCCAGGGCATGCTGAGACAGCAACTCAGATTGTGCATATGGCGTGTACCTGTAATCCCAGCGTTTGGGAGGCTAAAAACAGGAGAATCACTATGAATTTTATCTCTATAGTGACACCCTGTAGACCCTGTACTAAAATACATAAAAACCAAAAATTAAAAAAAGAAAGCACCAGTGCCAGGCTATATAGATAGTTAGAAATCCTAGTGTACAGAAACTCTAAGGAATTGAACTGCATACTCTTTTAGCAGGCTACTACTTCATGATGAAAACAAAGAGTTTCAATGATTTTTTCAAGGTTTACCTCTTCAGAAAATTTTAAATCAAAGTAAAGTCTTACCTCAGCTTCCATAAGCTTAGAGAAGTCTGATTCAGATCCAATGTAATAGGAAATTCCCTTCGATGCCCCCTCTAGAGTTGCACCTCGTATTAGAAGAATAATTAAAACTACATAGGGAAAAATAGCTGTAAAATATACCACCTGCCAAGAAAAACATCAAAACTTAGTGTCATTTTAAACCAGGGTATATAATTGTAGTCAAGTAAACTTTTTGCCAGTTCAAATACTCAAACTACTGGAGATTTTCATAATGGTATTAGTAAGTCTGAAGATATCAATATCAAAGTTGCTATAATTTCTTATTTCTGTTCTCACTACACTCAAATGATCTATTTCCAAAATCATTTTGATGCATGACAAGTCATATTGTAAGTAATACACCAATAGTGATAACTTTGAATCTAGTTGAAATGTTTTCTTAAATATAGTCTTATAGCCATGTGTGGTGGTGCACTCCTGTAATCTCAGGATTTGAGAGATTGAAGCAAGAGGACCACTATGAGTTTACGGTCAGCCTGGGCTACAAATTGAAGTTCAAGGCCAGCCTAAACCACAATGTGAAACCTTGTCTCAAAAAGAAAAAAAAATTCTTATAAATGTCTGATTGAACCAATTGGAATGTCTCCTTTCAGTATATTATTGTATAAGGTATGAAGGAAACTTATTAAGACTTGCAATGTTTAGCATTTACTCAGTCTCCAAAGAAAAGGAAAATTTCTCTTAATAGATATCCAAATCCCATGAAATCATTATTAAAGTGCATATAAATACATGTGATTTAAAGTTCCCATTATGTGAGTTTGACAGCACACACTCTAGAGTTCTGCTTCTAAAAAACACAAGGTTCCACCTGAACAGAATGCTACTCAGGCTGGCTTTTCATAAATGTGGATTTTTTTTGCTTCATGGGTGTCCTGTGTTTGATAATATCCATAGGGAAATGATTTTAAAATATCTCCCAGAGACCAATAAAAATAATTGCCTAGGTAAATTGCCTTTAGTGGACTCTTCCAATAGTAACATTAAAAAGGATCCAAAGCACTCAGAAATGTGCAACTGGGACACGTTGGGAAATGTCCACTGGCTTGAGGTGTTCACGTTATTTTGGTGATCTAACAGCATGTTTCACTACAATGTCACATTAATTGAATGTGCTAGATGTTGCACTAGAAATACAAAGTTAACACCCACAGGATTATTGTCCTCCACGTTTCAGATTAATTTATGCTGTTAGCTAAAAGCACATACACATACTCCAGTAACCCTAACCCTTGTGAGGCTGAGGCAGGAGCATTACTGAAATTCTGAGGTCAGCCTGGGCTGCATAGTGAGTTCAAGGTTGGCCTGAACTATGTAGCCAACAGCAAACAAACAAAAAGACTCATAAACATTCACTCTTCTTGGTACTATGAAACTTCTCACAGAGAAAATTTCATGTTTTCTAAATTTGTCAGTGTGTTCTGTAAAAGTTTAAAACTGAAACAATTAATAGATAAAATAGAATATTTTTCAGAAGAGCAAAGCTAGTGAGTAATGCACAAATCCACTATTAATTTTTGTTTGTACTATTTCTAATAGTAGCAGTAATCCTATTTACTTAAAACTAAGATTCCCACATAGAAAACTTTTAGCATCTTAAAATGTTAGCATTATGGATAAACCATGCATTTGACAATACTTCACATTTAATTATAATGGTATTGAAAGGCAGTTGCAACCTTACTTATGGTGTTTCAATAATTACCTTTCCAGAAGTTTTAATTCCTTTAATTACAGATGCTCCAACTATGATCCATGCCAAAAGAAGACACAATGCTAAATACCATATGATGTTTCCAGTCTCATCTATTCCACTTGACCGTTGAAGTGCCACTTTACTGAAATATATAAGCTCTTTTATGAACACAAAATTATTTATCTATAAAAATTAATTAGGTAAAGTGTTAATCCAAGGGGAAGCTCTATGAATATTATATGCTAATATCAATGCTCTGTGGACCTGGTATTAGTAGATGCTACTGTATAAAAGGACAAAAACTTCATTAAAATGCCATGCTGTGTACCTCACAGATCACCACAGTGAATCTAAATTTCAAAATTCTCTAATAATCCCATAATATGTAGAGTTCTTTTGTTGAGGAAAACTAACCTTATATCAAATGGCTTCATTTGACTCAATATAATATTTTCTCAAGTTGAACTAATGAATGAAATATCTAAAATTATGCTAAATATTTATTTCCTACTGTTCCCATTTTTCCATCTTTTCAGTCTTTCTGTAAAACTCCATGATTTTCATTAGCAATCTGCAAAGATCTATTCATTTTTTTGGTTATAAAGATTTTATTTTAGAAAATATTCAGTAATAAAGTATATCCAATTTTAAATGAGAGTTACAAAGAGGCAGTAAAGTCATTGCATCTTAATTTACTAAAATTTTCCTTCTTCAAACTGAAGCAAAACCTTCAAGATATGAATTTTCAGAACGCCCATTTTGTAATTTAATGTCAATCTGGTGAGCTTTACAAGAAATAAATAAAGTTTTTATTTTTTTTAAGCAACAGAGAATTGTACATGATAAGACTATGGTTCTTTCTCTCTACACTTGCATTGAATGTATGTGTATCCAAGAATAAAATACATCTACTTGAAATGTAAAGATGATATGAATAATGCCAGTTCTTTCATAGAAATGTGTACACTCTTGAGTACAGGGCAAACAGTACTTTATAGTCAAGTATCTTTGCTATGGTAAGGAAAATTTTTCAGCAGTCTGATTGTGAAGTTTCTTAAAGAAATTGGTAAAATGTATTCCTCTGAGCCTGTAGGTTTATTCGAGAGACTTGAGTTCCTCTCTTATTTTTGCCAGCCAGGATCCACTTTTCTTCCCTCTGGGTAGTGAATCTAAAGTGTTTATGCCTTCCTTATTATCTCTTGGTTTTCAAATTTGCAACAACCCCTGCTTCTGGGGAGAAGTGAGTGAACAGGATGAGGGAAAGGGCAAATCCCAACCACGTGATCACAGCGATGGATCCATGATGCACAAGTATCCTGCCCCGGCTAGTGAGTGCTACTTACAGACCTACCTGAATCATCTGGAAGCAATTTACTCTCCTTGGAGAGCCAAAGATCTATTCTTACCTCAATGTTTTTGAACTTTTTTCACTTTTGTTGTTGTTTTAATTTGATTTTATTATTTCATTTTGAAAATAAAAAAGTAACAACAAAAATCAGAAACAATGTAGAAACAGGGTAACATGAAATAATACACATGTTATAGATTTTCTTTCTTTCTTTGGTGGTTTTAGAGAGTAATATATTGTTATAGATTTTTCAGAACAAGAATAGCTGATTAACAATGGTTGATATAATATCTATTTTTATTGTCAAACCTGTTGCTCAGATTAAGAGAAATAGTTATGTAAGATTGGACATATGATTTCATATTATCGCTTGTTTTCTAGAAACCTTAAATTTTTTGCTCTTGTCCCTCTTGTTTTTCTTTTTGTTTTTTTTTTTTTAGAACCCGAAAGAAGAAATAAAGCCTGAAAGTTATAACCGATATAGTAAAACAGAAAGAAATAGAACTTAGAGATTAAACTACAGAGATGAGAGGAAGGACAAAAGATAGGAAAAATAAGTCAGGGGAAAAACATGCAAGTATATATACAAGATGGTTGAAGTGATTGTACTTGAAATTTCCATCAGTTTTTTGAAAGCAGCAGTTAATGTGTAGAATTTTCACCTTGATGTTGCTGATATCTGCAAATTAAGCAACTTCATCAAGGACAGCTACGTGTAATACAAAAATCATGCTTGAATACTTGTCATCTTTGTCTTCTAAATGTGTACCATTTCTAATGTCATATAGTTATTACTATACTCTTCAAAATAAAATTTTTTAAAAGACAAAAAGAAAAACAACTGGAACATTGGAAATTTCAAAAATTTTTAAATTCACAATATGGGATTTGGTATAGAGAGTCCTCATAAAATTTTAAAAAGTAGATCTATCATATAACATAGCAATCTGCCTACTGGGTATATATATCCAAAGAAATGAAATATGTATATCAGAGACATATGCACTTTTACATTCTCTGCAACATTTTTCACTATATCCAAGACATGGAAAAAATTGCAACATACATGTGAAACAACATAAATGGACAAAAAATATATCACAAATAATGGAACATTTCCTGTCACACAAAAAATAAAATCCTATCACTTGTGATAACATGGATGGAACTAGAGAGTGTTCTTTAAATTTAAATAAGCCAGGCACACTAAGGAGAGTCACCTAGAGAGAAAACATTCTCTCAGGCTTTCACAAAGAGCAAACTGGTCAAGCAATGGCTATGACTCATCCAGATGGCTGACACTGACAAAAGATCTACAAACTACTGTATAGGGTTTCAGGGTAAATCCTGAGGGCATTTGACTGACCTTGTCAAATACAAAAGTTGCATTTTTTGTTATATAGGTCTTGCTTTATCTTGGTCTTAACCATCCAGCAGAAAAGTATAAAAACAAGGTATAAAAAGCAAAGTCATATTAATATACTGAGCTGTAAAAGGCTCAAGTCAACAACTTCTGACATTGCCAGTCTTATGGATAACCCACTACTATTATGGAGTACTGGACTATACTGGATTATTTTGCTAAATTCACACATCTACAATATTTAAATGACAATGGAATACCCATCTCTGACAAAACTAAGCAAAAAAGTGGGATATAAATAAAGGACTAGGGGCTGGGGAGATGGCTCAGTGGAATAAGTGCTTCCCTGGCAAGCGCAAGGGCCTGAGTTCAATTCCTGGTTCCACAAATACATAAATAAATAAATAACCATTTTGTAATGAAAAAAATACATATATATGTATGTATTTATATGATATATAAGTATATATAATATATATCTGTATATGCAAAATAGGATAGATATGCAACTACTTTATCTTAATTTAATGAGAAGAAAGATTTGTACTAATAGTGTTTAGACAAGATATCATGTCTACATCTTAAACTATGAATAACTACTACAAAGACAACAATATGCAATGTATGAATTGTTGTAAATGTCCTACTAACCTGTTTTGAAACTGTCTCATTGCTATTTCTTTCTCAAGAATATTAAATAAAAAATAATAAATAAATAAGCCAGGCACAGAATAAAAAATACCATATGATCTCATATACACATGAAATCTGAAGAAGGTGGTCTCACATGAATTTAAAATTGAAAAATAATTACTAGAAGGGGGTAAATCAGAGGATGGGAATGGGGAAAGTTTGACCAGTAGGCACTAAGCTATAGTTAGGTCAGATCAAGAAGTTTTGGTGTACTATTGTACAGTAAGGAGACTATGATAACTATGTATTGTACATTTCAAAAGCTATAAAACACTTTTTTAAATTTTTCACAAAAGGAAATGATAAATGTTTAAGCACATAGATATATTAAACATAGGTATATTTAACCTGATATAAGCATTATATGTTATCCACACTAATATGCACAAGATTAATGCTTCAATACATCAATTAAAATAAATTAAAACATTTTAAGAAACTAGAGAGGGCAATAGCATGTGCATTAAAGAGAGTTCATTCAGTATTAGACTCAAAAATACTAGGTAAGGGTAATGAATACACATAAATAAGGATGATTTAGTAAATATAACCCTGTGTACCCATTCTTACCATGCAAGAGCAATAGTATGCAAAGCAGATATTGAGAAAATGTTGTCTTAACAATTTTGCCCTCTAACATTATCCATTGTCCAACTGTTTACCATTAAAATTTTCTCTTGTAGTTGAAATGATTTTTAGAAATCAATTCCTAACACTGGACATTATAAATAAATAATTACAGTCCACTGTCCATTGAACAACCAATTTATGAAAACCACATTGTTAACAAAGTCCTAGTCTTATAAATAATTACTTTTCGGATAGACAAATATTTAAATAAAAGGAAATATAATTCCCTATGATTTCTATTCTTTTTTCAATTTATGTGAGCTAAAGAAGACAATGACCAAAATAGCATTGTCCCTTACTTAAAAAATATTTTTAATAATGCCTGTTTAGGAAATGAATCGCTTACTTCCAATACTGTTCACTGGGAAGTTGTCCTGGCTGGTAAACTTCAGTACCATTGCTGCAGGTAAAATTGTTGGCATCCATCCAGCTCATATTAACGTGGATGACCTCTGTTCCTAGATCTACATCACAATGAGTGACTAAAAATGACAAAAAGAAGAAATACAGAAACAGTTATGTATTTAGTTTTAAAGGAGTACTTCCTGGGGGGGAAAGATTCAATGGTAAAATATTTATATAACCTATTGTCTAAATTGTTACTTTGTGAAGGTAGAGTAAAACTATTTGACAAATATAATGAAATACTGTCATTCAGTATCTGAAATAGACTACTATTAAGGTAAAACTGAGTATAATGTTATCTTCCCTTTTAAACTGTAACAGTATTTGTAATAATATCAGCTACACAATAATAATTGTTACAGTTGAAGTTTGGGGCTCTAACCACTAAGAAGACAACAATATGCAATGTATTAATTATTGAAACTGTCCTCCTAATCAGTTCTGAAACTATCTCATTGTTATTTGTTCCTCAATAAAATTATTTTATAAACAAAGAACTTTACATAGCTGGACTTAACCAATCTAGTCTAAATAAACAAATGGATACTTTAAAATTTCTCAAAATTGTTAATTCTTTAAAACTTCATCCTCTGATGTGTAACCTGCTAACAGCATACAATACTGATGCTGCATTATCACACAGACTGTCAATATGTTTTTTTAATTTAGAGGATATTTTATTAGTTTCTGTAATCAAACCCACATAGATAAGACCTTACATATTTAATACAGTGCATTACCCCTTTACAAATGGAAAAAAAATAAGTTTTAACATTTCTTGACCAATATTGCTGTTAATTTTTGTACAATGCTAACTCAATAAGGTAAACTGGGATAACTTTTCCAAAGTTGACAGCACAGTTAAAGTTTCCAAAAATTCAAATTATATATATATATATATATATATATATATATATATACCAATAAGAGCAATACATTATGCATCAATAACAGCAACAACTTTTCTAGGTTCTGCATGTTGACATAGGAAGCATTAACTCTTTTCTGAAGCATTTCTCTCCTGCCCAAAGCTTAGGCCTGAAAGACATTCTCACCATAGTTTAGCATTCTTGGTTTCCCTTGAGAATTCTGATTATATATTCTCTGCTCTGCTTTAGTTTATGACCTATGAACCATTTAAAATTGCACCAAAATTCGTTAGAAAATTATTTAATCTTTGACCCTTATTTAGAAGAAATGATATGGAGTGGATAATATTTAAAAAATAAAATCAATGAAATTTACCTATTGGTGATCTGCTACAGTTTTTATCTGACCAAGGAGGTGAACATGTTGCCCAGGGCAGTGGATTTTGAAAGGAAGCAAAGAGGTAGAAAAGGCTATATGCAATTATAACATTATAATATATTGTCACAAAGATGGATATCAGAACCATTGTAATTCCCACACCTGGAAAAGAGAACAACAAAAGTATACTCAAATTAAATTTATTTTGCTAATTGATTATACAATTTCATCTCAATTTCCACAATATATATTTAAATTTTAAAAAATGATTTCAAGAACTGTTTCCTTCCTTTCAAGGAGTGAAATCAGGGGTAGAGGGAAATGGCACTCTCCACATGTCTTTCTTTCCATTTTAAAACTATTTAGACAATTGGTTTCCTAATAAAATTCTTCAGTTAGTTAGAAGAGATAATAAGGCAGAGGAAAAAGGCATGTTTGAAACAATCAAATGCATGTAAAACCTATATCTATTATACTTTTTTTAAAGTCTGCAAATTCTTGTTACAGTAGGCACATTGGTAATTTTTAAGTCAAAACTTGAATCTTTTGGAACACTGACCAGTGCTTACATCTGTATGTCTAAGCCTGCATTTTGACAAGGGGAAATGAAGCCCTTTAATTAATGTCTTGAGAAGACACAATGCAGTGTTTCTACAAGTATAGGTAAATAAAATTCAGTTCTTCAGTAACAATCTGAATTTAAACACTCAAAATTTAATTCAGTAGTTTAAAATAAAGATTACTATATTAAATGCAACTCCTAAGCTTAAGACTAGCTTTTTAAGTAGCTACTTCAATTTTTCAGTACAATATTCTATTCGCCTCTTCAAGAATTTAGTTTTGTGTCACACTGAAATTTGCCAAATAGTGTTCATCAGGTAGTACATTTCAAAATGATATTTAATCATTGCAAATAGTAGTTTGATGTTTAAGAACAACAGAGGCATTCCGGGCATTAGCAGTATCCTAATCTATTAGGAGCATATAAGAAAAAATGGTAACCTGATTTTCAACTTTCTGAAAAAGTATTTTTATACGATGTGTAAAGGTAGTAAGACAAAATCTTTATATGAAGAACTTCAAAAGAGCCAGAGTACCAATAAAATAAAAGTTCTTGAAATTTAGAGCCAAAAAAAATAATGCAGAACAAGCTATATGTTAAAATAATTTAAACATGAAATTAGGAAAATGCATGACTCTCTTATAAACATCTTTCATGTCCTTCCTAACATTTCCCATGTCCTCAGTAAGGTTAAACAAACAAAATTAACTTCTGATTTATAAATTCTATGCTGTTAAACTATACAGAGAGGTATAAACGAGTTCCTTTGTCTTAAGGTGCCAGAATATCATTTGAATTTTAATTAATGGATCTGTTAATTTTAATTAACAGCTAATATTATAGGGGCCGGGGAGGTGGCTCAGTAGAATAAGTGCTTCTCTAAGCAAGCGGAAGGGCCTGAGTTCAATACTCACTTCCGCCAAAAAAAAAAAAAAGCTAATATTGTAGTTTTCGTGTGCATTAATGGGTTTTTAAGTATAGATACATTGTGGAATGGGTAACTCTAGCTAATTAATAAATTCATCACCTCACATAGCTATTGCTCCAATTTTGGTATACATGCTGCTGAAGCAAGCACACATAGCTATCATTTAATTGTTGAAAACATAGATACTCTGTATTTTATTTATGTATTTATTTATTTAATATTTTAGGGAAGGGTCTACAGTGTACTCAGGGTCTCACTACTAGATTGGACTCATAGTGATTCTCCTGTTTACAGCCTCCCAAATACTGGGATTACAGGTGTACACCACCACGCTCTCTCTCAGCGCACCCCAGGGGCGGGGCCAGGACAGCAGGCCTGGGGATTGAACCCCTGACCCCTGAGCCTGCTTGCAGGTGCTTTAATCTACTGAGCTATTTGTCCAGCCCTGATAATCTGTATTTTCAAGAGTTCAATATTTTGACATAACTATAGTTACCATACGCTCACTCTTGAATTTATAAAATTGTAGATTATAAGTATTTTGAAACATTTTTTTCTATCTAACTATAACCCTATATTCTCTGGCCAGCACGTCTCCCTTCTATATGACTATCTCATCCTCTAGTAACAGCCATTCTGTTCTCAAATTCCATGCAATCAAACTTGGAAGAATTTTAAACATTTCTTGACTTTGAATTGAAGAAAACTATATACAGACACCAAGTAATAATCATGATGATGGTAACATTTTAATACCAACCTTGAAACAAGGGCACACTACGCCAAACTAAAATAGGGCCTTGACTGGTGAACTGACCCAATGAACACTCCAGAAAAAACAATGGCAAGCCAGCCAATGCCAGCATGATTGCATACGGTATTAGAAATGCACCTAGGAAAGGCAAAAACAAAAACAAAACAACCACACAGAAGTTCTATTAAATTTCAAAATCCTGATGGTATCTTGACAACAAGAATAATAATGCAAAAGCCACCTGATACACTGGAATCAGAATGTGCTAGGTCTGGTTCTCAAATTTATTATTTTCTGTGAGATAGTACCTGACTCTTCAAACCTTAAATTTATCATCTATGAAATTAGGATGATAGCATTATCTGAAGAAATTGTTGCAAATATTAAAAAAGTAAGATGTAGGATGTGAATATCCACAATCTGTGATGTAAAAGCTTAGTTTAAAATGCTGCTCTACTATTTATTATTCATATGACCTCAAGTAATTTACCTAACCTCTGAACCTTATATTCCTCATAACAGTGGAAAAAATACAATGTCATCAGTTTCTGGGAAGGGTTCAAATACTACAATTAGGTGGAAACACTTGGCAATTTGCCAGCCACATACCAAATGTTTATTGGTACTTTCAGCTCCTTCTCTCTTTCAAAATAATGGTCAATTTTTAAGATTGTGTGTCCAAATGCTAAACGTTGCTCAGAGTAGAAATTATTGCTATTAAATCCATGAATTTCCAAATAGTTACAAGACTAAGTGTGAATAAGAATGTAGTGGTTTTCATAGAAAAATCTGAAATGTACAGGCATGGTCATAGTTATCTTTCACTTTCAGAGGAATCAATTCTGCTACCCTTTATCCCATCCCTTCTCCATTAAACCTTCCTCATTGTACGTTTTTTCTGTGCAATTTTAGGCACAGCAGTGCGCACTGAAAGATTTAGCAGACAAAAAATGGAAACAAGGGCAGAATTTGAAACACATTAATATTTTTGGAAGTCTTGTTTAATAAAAGTGATATATGAATTAATAGATAAAATATATGTTTGTATTTCATATGTTTCATTTACTCATGTTAAGGCTGACCTCAACTATTCATAATATGGTACTGTGACACTGTGTCTAGAAATACTTTTTTGCAACCTTCAAAATAGATTTGCTTTCGAATACCTATATTTAAGTGACTTTGCTTGAATGCTAACCATAGAAGAAGTAATTAGGCCATGGAGAAAAAAATGTGTGCACACATGTTGCAACAAGCACACTCTCATTACTATGACTAACTGGAGTGTAAGTACTACCAATGATAAATATGAAGAAAAATAACACAAAATATCTCCACTTATTTATTACTATAAACAAAAGTTTATCAGTCTAGAGTTGGCCGATACTTCAAAACAAATGATTTTTCTGTTTATTTTTATATAGTTTTTCTGATCTAGTATTCCATTATTAACAATAGATATAATTGACAAATGGTCTATATAATATAGTAGTAGCAAAGGATGATATCAGACCTTAACATATCATGACACTTCTTTTGCATAAACTACTAAGAATCTGCAAATGTGAATTTTTCCAGATTTTTGTTTGTTTGTTTGTTTAATGTATTTGGTACAAGGTCTACAGGTTCTCACTACACAGATCAGACTCCTAGTGATCCTCCTGTTTTCAGCTTCCCAAGCACTGAGATTACAGGTACGTGCCACCACACCTAGTCTCAGTCATCATCTCAGCACTCCCCAGGGGCGAGACCAGAACAGCCCTGTGCCTGCCTTAGCAGACGCTTTAATCCACTGAGCTATCTGGCTGCCCTGTTTCCAGATTTTTAATAGTAGTTTTCCAAACCTGACCATATTTTAAACTCAGTCACAGCTGACAAGTTTGAATTTCATATTCTTCTTCTTGAGGGATGACACAACAATCAAGAGAATCTGGATTCTCTATTACCTAATGATAAGATACTTAAAAACTAAACAACAATATGCCATATTAATTTTTAGAGGAAATGAAATGGCCAAGAAAGAGCAGCACACGGCAGACAACGCTGCTTGTTTGGGTGTATTTTTAAATTCTCTATTAAAAGTAGTTTAATACAATCCCAGAAATATATGAGACATACTGGGTGTTGTTCTCAAAGTGTAGGGAAGCTTTTAACCTAAATATGAGAAGAAGTGATTTAAAATAAGTCTATGTGCTTCTTTTCAATACACTGAACCTTTGAACATAGAATGATTGTGATTTCTATCTCATTTTTCAGCTAATACTTACCCTAAACGCATTACTGAATGTGTTACTTCCTGTAAGCACAAGTGAATAAAATACATTGCAAGTAAAAAATTTTGACATTACTAGTGGATTGTGTAATTTATTTTATTTCTCTTAGTATGACACCTCAGGTATTTTTCTACTTGTTTTTGTACAAATTACCTTAGTGATTGCAGTGTATAAATAGGATTTTTTTACAAGAACAAAAAACCTAGCCTTGAACTAAACTCTACTGTATTTTAGGAGGATCTTTTATATGATCAATATACTTTGGGAAAAATATTACTTAAAATATTAATTGTTTAATTACCTTTCAATTATTTTTCCACACTTAAAGTTACAAAAATGTAATGTCTATTCTACTAAATCAAACAATTTATTTGAATTTCTGAATAGAACTAGTTTTCCCCTTGGATTCATCTATAAATTAAACAAAGCACCACTTGAGGCTGAATAGATTATCATAGAAATATGCACAATTTTTTGAAGTCTTTGCTCAAGATTTCATGAGATGTCAAATCAGAAGCCCAGAAGTGTAAAGCTTTTATGAAGTTTCTATCTGGGAATATTTTGAAACCAGATTACTAACCTGATATAGTAGTTTACAGTCTAATAATAAATGTAGTACACTTGCTTCTTCTCTTCCATTGTATACTTTTCTTTAGCTCTCAAAATATCCTCTTAGACCATATGGTACCCCAATTACTATTAGAGGAAAAATCATGTCAAGAGGTTACCTCCACCGTTGCTGTAGGCCAGATATGGGAAACGCCAAAAGTTTCCCAATCCCACTGCGTATCCGATCATAGACAGAAGATAATCTGATTTTTTTGACCAGTTACCACGGTCCTGATTCTCATCATTTTCATCACTGTGTAAACGTTCAGGTAAAGTCACCTCTCTCTGAGGAGAGAAAAAGAACAACATACAAGTCTTTCTACTATCACAAACCCCAAAGAAGCAAATTTCACAGAAAGGAAGTAGGAGAAAGAACAAAGACTGAACACTGTATCTAACAGGAAAAAAACTGGAGTTGGTGATGTGTCTGCCTGTACACACTTACAAAACAGATGCTTGAAATAAAAATTTCTGTTGCTTCTAGAGAAGCATGGGGAACAGGATTTTGTGGTCTTCAGCTGAGACCACCCAAATGTGAATGGAAATGTTATATGTTGTGTTAACAAGAAATGCGAGCAAAAGTGGACAAATCACTTTTCAAATACAAAAGTTTTAAGAATGAATTATAAAAAATCAATACTACCTGAGATTGTAACAAATCTTTGAGAAGGATAAAATGTATCTTCTACTACAGTAAAAAAGAAATTGTACAGTCCTTGCTTATGTGCTCCAACCTTTTGCATGTTTCAAGTTAAGGGAAGTTTAACTGTCTACCTTGTGTTGGAGCAAAATAAGTCCTTTCAGAAAAGCCACAGAAACATATACAGAGACAAGTGTTCTGTTCCATCAGGGGGAGCAGCTCTCATTCCCATGCTGAAGGTAGGAGCAGAAGGTTTTCCTCCCACCCTTGTCAGCTGCTCTGAGGAATGAAAGTTTCCTCAGATGAGGTAAGTATAGTGCACTTTTGTGTTTCCCTGCAGCACATGGGCAAAGTCTAGAAAAGTACAGGGAACAGGATTTTGTGGGGACTCACAAAGCAAAGCTGAGGTGGTCCTAAGTTACCTGGCTAGCAACATAAGAGCTAGTCTTTTTTTCCCCTACTCTATGGGGCCACTTTAGGTACACTTAAAAATAGTTAAGCAGAAATTTAAAGAACAGAGAGCAGCGACAAAAAGGATAAAAGATTAACCCTCTCTCTTCAGCATTCTCTAATTGTGCCCTCCATGCCTCCAGTAGCTCCCAGACCCCTGCCTCTTAGACCCCTACCTCCTTTCTCTTGCCCTTGAAGAAGCTCGGGAACTTGAATTTGTCCATGGCTCACTGACTGCTTGCTCCACCTTGCCTCTTCTCACAGTCTGGCTGATCTTGACGGGCAGCAGGTGCACACTCCTCCGTTGTTACTGGCCAGTGAGCCACCTTGCCCGGGGGTGGAACCATTTATGGAGGAATGACCTCCCCCCTCCACCAGCCCTGTAGTGTCCATTACCGGAAGGGACCAAAGTGAGGCTCTGGTTTCCCATGCATAATCCTGCATGTAGCAGTTCCCTGCCCCAGGACAGGGCTGGGCTGTGAAGGAGTGGAGCAACCAGAGCCCAGATGACAGCTTTTGACTCAGAGCTGTGAAGGTGTCTTAGAAATCCTGTCTCTTTTCCTGGGTTACCCACTTCCTTCTCACTTTGCCTCTCAGTGAAATCTCTGTCCTGAGGCCAAGTGCGGATCTCCCCTGCTGCTGGAGGCAGAAAGGGCACAATCTGTGGGGTCCATTCGGCTCACGAAGATATCTCTACACACAGCATCTTACCCTAGGTGCATTCCCAACGTTTTGTCCCTCACTAGAAAGTTCTTCATCTCCCAGGGCAAATGCTGTTCCCAAAGGAAATCCCCTGAATTAGACACATAAAAAACAGCCAGCTAAGATAATATTACTCAGCTGGCTCTGCCTGAAAAGACCGACTTTGAGTCTACGTCTCAGGCTTCTTTTTCAGCCTTTGGGACAGTTTTGCCTTTTACAACGATGGCTTTGTGTAGTATTTCAAAGACATCAAATTCAAACAAATTATTGAGCAGGTTTATAGGAAATTCTAACCCTAACAAAGGATTCCAGTCTGCAAGAATAGTGAAACTTAGAAAGTAAATAAACATCTCAGCTTGACTAGAGAGGAAATATTCATTATAATGCTGTTTACCTATGTAGAACATTTTCATGAAAAACTCAAAGTATTTAAACTCAAGCTATGTGGTAAGAGATGGTAGCAATTCTATAAAACATTGTGTAAATCCATGCATACAGAAGAATCAACAGGGAAACAAATTCTCTATCTTATGTATAGTTCCTTTGTTCCTTACTGGATGACAAGAACTTTCCATTTGTAATAGAATAATGGCCTTCAGAAATCTAGTGAGGTAGGAGAAAGCTCATGATGCAACTATGGGAGGTTGTAAGAAAAAAGTATTAATGAGGTTCATCTAAGTAAGTCTTGAATATCAACATCTATCGGGGAAAAGGGGGGGGGAAGGAGAAAGAGAAATTGAGGAAGAGAGAAGGGAGGGAGGAAAGGAGGGAAGGGAAGGAAAGAAGAAGAGAAACTTACTAACAAGTGAAGAAATCATTAGCATGTCACTTTAGCCATAGAAGACAGGGTAGAGTGAAGGGTATATAAACAAATTTTTAAAAGGTTGAGCTAAGAAACAAATCCAGTCCTAGCTACCAAACTACTAAGGCTCCATAGAAAGGAAAGGAACCCACTATGCACTACTTCAAACAGTTGGTAACTGAGGAAATAGAGAATAGGAATCTTGCCAGGGAGATGGCTCAGTGGAATAAGCGCTTCCCTGGCAAGCGCAAGGGCCTGAGTTCAATCCCCAGTTCTGCCCCCCCAAAAAAAAAGAGTAAGAAAGAGAATAGGAATACTAGGGATAGAGAGTCTGGGAGGATGGAAACCCAGAGTTCGTGGTAGCTAGAGTGGAAAACCAACAATTTTTCCAGCCTGTTATACAGTAGAGAAATTTTAATTACCTTTGACATTGGAGAACCTGAGGATAATATTTAAGATAAAAGGCATTCTAGAGAACTTAGCTCTTTTTTTGATGGGGTGTTATTCCCATTGCCATGCATGACTTTTCATGTCATGGCCCCTGCCTCCCACTTATTATCTTTTGCTGTTCTTCATCTCAAACTCTTAATCTTGTGTTTCTTGCATTGTACATATTATTTCCTGCCTCTATGCCTGTGTACATGCTATTTCTTGTGAAAATTCCCATTCTATTCTTAATTTAACTAAGTTCTACTCATCCTTTAAGAGTCTGCTTAAGTGTCATATTCCCTGGTCTTTTCCTCCTGTATTACCACAGACCAAGTTTTAATGTTTCTCTTCTGTGTTCTTATGCTATGTTCTATTCTGTTCACATTGAGTGAAATTATTTTCTCAGAGTTCTCAAGGCTGTGAATTCTTTATTTTTTTCAAAGTTTTATTGATAAACAGATAGCAATGAGACAGTTTCAAATCAAATCGGAAGTACAGTTTCAACAAATAATACACTGTATATATTCTTCTTAGTGGTTAATTGCTGTACAAGATGCAGACTTGTGATCCTATTTACAAACACCATTAGAACAAATCATTCTATTCATTAAGAGAATGCAACTATATATCTATCCCAACCACTTTGAATACACAGATACAAAATGGGCATTCATAGGTATACCCCATTTTTTCTAAGTTCCGTTATTGAATATTATAGGTGTGTAAACTCAGCAAAATATTCCAAAAGAGTCCAGTAGCCCATAATAGCATTGGGTCTTCTGTTTAACTGGCAATGTCAGAAATTATTGACCTGAGTCCCCCACAGCTCAACTTAACAGCATGGCTTTATTCCCTATATTTCGTCTTCATACTTTTCTACTGGATGGTTAAGACCAAGGTAAAGCAGGACCTATGCAACAAGAGTTGTAGCTTTTTGGTCTGAGAAGGTCAGTGAAATGCCCTCAGGATTTATCCTGAGATCCTGTACCTCAGATTGTAGAACCTTTATCAGTGCAGCCATGTGGATGAGTCATGGCCATTGCTTGGCCAATGTGCTCTCTGTGAAAGCCTGAGAGAGTGTCTTCTCCCCATGTGACTCTCCTTAGGCCCACTCTACATCATTGATCACTTTCCTCTTTGGCCCCAAAATCTTCTTGATCAGAAAATTTGGGACACTACCGAGGTACATGACATTACAGTACAAGTTCTTATATGTCCTGAGTCTTAATTGACCTTAGAAGGGTAGGGCCAAAATGTTGGCTTTCTCAAGGCTGTGAATTCTTTAAAGGCAGAAGACTATTTTTAAAGTAAAATTTATACATATTAACAGGGTACAATATAATGTAATGCTTATAACATAATATAATGTTTGTAACATACGAACATTAAAATGTTAAAATCAAGGTAAACCTACTTGTCTCCCCAAATGTTAACTCTTTGTGGTGAAAATATAAATATCATTTTTCTAGCTTTTTTGAAATTCACAGTATGTAATTATCTGTAGTCACTATAATGTGCACTGGCGCTCTAGAATTATATACTTTTATGTACTTGTAACTTTTGAAATGTAAATGAAGCTCATTTTGCTTTTTAACTACTGTTCTTAAAGTACTAGGGCTTGGTAAACAATGCAAATTACTGTAAGTCATCTCAAAAGCCAGTTTTATTTAGTTTTTTTTAATGACTTGTTTAAAAGATTCAGCCCATTCTAATATGATAAATATCTTTAACCATGCCACTTTGAGTTAATAAAGGCTCACAAAAGGGCAGCATTCATCATGAAAGAAAACAAAAGCTGTTGTTGACAAGCAATAGCACACACAAAACATTAAAAATAATTGCAAAATTAACAACTATGTTCCCCCACTTTTGAAGTATCTAGATATAAAAACAGAAATTTATCAATTCATCCTTTCCACTATCCCTAGTAATCACTATTCTACTCACAATTTCTATGAGGTCAACTGCTTTATTCTTTTCCTGGCTGAATGATATTTGATGGTGAATAAGTACTGCAGTTTCTTTATCTGTCCATCAAATGGTGGAAACTTAGGTTGCTTCCACATCCTGTTTCTTATAAATAATGCAGTAATAAAGACAAAAGTGCAAATGTCTTTTTTGATAAACTACTTTATTTTCCTTTGGATCTATTTCTAGTAGTAGGGTAGCTGGATCATATTATAGTTCTATATTTTCATTTTTTGAGAAACCCAGGGACACTGTATTAAGCATTGGCCATGACTCATCCACATGGCTGACATTGACAAAGGATCTACAAAATGCAGTACAGGGTTACAGGATAAATCCTAAGGGAATTTGACTGACCTTATCAGACAGAAAAGTTACATTTTTGTTATATACGTCTTGCTTTATCTTGGTCTTAACCATACAGCAGAAAAGTATAAAAACAAGGTATATAAAGTAAAGCCATATTAATATGCTGAGCTGTTAAAGGCTCTAGTCAACAACTTCTGTGGATAACTCACTACTATTGCGGAGTGCTGGACTGTGTTAGATTGTTTTGCTGAATTCAAGCACCTATAATATTTAGATGCCAATATAATACCCATCTCTGACAGGGCTGAACTAGAGAGGGGGGATACAGAGTAAAGACCATTTTGTATTTGTATATACAGAATAGTTAGGATAGATGTACGGCTGCTTTCGCTTGGTTCAGTGAGAGGAAGGATTTGTAGTAGTAGTGTTTGGACGGGATGTCCTGGCTGCTTCTTGTGCTGTGGATGACCGCTGAGAAGATAACAATGTGCGATGTATTAATTATTGAAAATGTCCTTTTAATCAGCTTGGAAAGTGTCTCATTGATATTTGTTTCTCAATAAAATAAATAAATAAATAAATAAATAAATAAATAAAAACACTTTACTTTTTTGGTAAAAAAGAACATTCTTATATTCCAAGAACCTAGCTTAGAACCTTATGAAGAATAAGTGCTCAATAAATATTTGTGAGAACACTTCAATCACATCATTTAGTGACTTTCCTGCCAAAAGAAGAGACAAGAGTTCTACAATTCACTTCCTAGAGGTCATGGGATACCAGAAGACTGTTTTCTCCTCTATGATATCTGATTTTTTATTAATAAGCAGATTGGTTGATGAATTGTTTTATTTGGAAACTGAAAGAAGCATAGAAATTCAAGGGGAAAATAGCTATATATACTCAGTCACAAAAATATGAATGAGTTGGTGTAAGATATCATCAGAAGACTTTACTAATTTTTGAAGTAACAAAACATAAGGCTGGAGAAATAAAGTACGGCCAATTATGGGTCTTGCCATAGAGGCCTGTGCTATGGCCTGCTGGTCAATAATAATATTATGGTTAACTTGATAATAACACATGAAAAGCTATACTTTAATTGTGCAGAAACATGTTAAAATTATAATTAGTGACGCCATTCACTGAGTTGCACAATGCTGGTTTTTTAACAATAGGTCATCTCT